CCGCCGGGGTGCGGCACGGGGGGCACGGCTCCCTCTGCCCCTGTGCCCACCGTCCCTGTGGTGCCCGCGGGCGGGCGGCTCCCGTTCTCCATCAGCACAAAGCTGCCGGGAATGATGTGCCTTTGCTCCTGCCTTTCAGATCCTCTTTTCCCCTCGCGGAACGTGGAGACCTGTTTAAAGTTGGTGGAGGCGCTTTCCAGCCTTTCCAAAAAAAAAACCAAACCAAAAATCCAAAAGACAACCAAACAAACTTTGTGACGAGTTTTAGATCTTTTTAAAGAACTTAATGGCAGTCATTAATTTTTTTTTTATTGATGCTTTCTCTTAGTTGCTGGTAGCAAAACTGAGTGTGCACGGAGTTTCAGTCTTATCTAACTTGTTTTAAGAAAGGCTGTGCTTAGCATAAACCGCGGTGATCCCTGAGGTTCAGCAAGTCAGCGGAGGGGAGCAGAAACAGCCGGAGAAACTGAGCACACGGCATTAGTTTGAATTATTTGTCTGTGTGTTCGGGAGACTTGAGGGTTTCCATATGCTTTTCTTCTGCTGTGCTTTCTGTTTGAACACATTCCCACTCACACGCTGGTAGCGGGCTCTACAGCATCACTGGAGAGATTTCCGAATCCCTGCTCCTGGGTCTCTCCTCCTTGGCTGGAGTTCTGCCATGTTGCTGTTGAAAATGCTGCTGTTCTGTGAAGTTTGCACACTTCTCCTTCAAATGGAGACTCTCCAGAGCCGTCATCTGGCAGCCCAGAAGGACTGGCTTGCTGTTTCCCGCAGAGCAGGAGCGTGCTACAGACGGGCGGAGGGGCAGGGGATGACCCCGGGACACGAGCACCCAGGCCCGGGATGTGCAGGCACCGAGCGCCCTGCTGCTTTTAATAGGGAGTGAACAGCGCGGTCATCGCTGAGAATCTGGGTCATGAGTATTTCACTTTTCTGGTGACTAGTGCCGGAAGGAGAAGTGGTGATTTCAGGGTGACTATTGCAGGCTGTTAAGTCGGGAAAAGCTAATTGTCAGCTATTGGCTGTTTTAACCACTGTTTCCAGTTGCTTTTAAACTCTGGATTCAAGTAGAACTGAATTTTCTAATGAAAATTGCTATTACTGTAACTTACTATCCCTGTTTCACTGTGAAACACAAGAGTTAGTTTATGCAATCAAAATGGAAATGTTTTATATTTTTATGTAGAAGTGAAGGGATGAGATGCCTGATTTACCTGGATGTCTCTTTAGATATACTGTCTTGGTGGTGGTGGTCACTGGTCAGCACTATACAGTGAAATTCCACTTTTTAAAATTAAAAAGGGAGCTGTCCTTTTCCTTGTAGCTATCAATACCTTGTTTAATTTGCTTTAAAACTTCTCTGCATTTTTTTTTTTTTTTAAGTTCTAGATCATTTGGAGAAATTTAGTGTACTAATTCTATTATCGAGGACACTTGAGATACCTCACTGTTAATCTCTGCTGTGTTTGGAATCAATTATTTACTCCTACATTTGTCTCTATATCTAATTACCCTTAAAATATCACCTTTCCCCTCTGTCTCCCTAGAAAGCCCTCCTGAATGAGATGCTCCAGCTTAGTTTTCACTTTGTGAATTACTTCTGTGCTAAAATGTATTTGACGAAAGACAAACTCCCCAGTGATAAATCAGTGTCTAACGTAAGGGTATTAGAAACAGATTTTCTGGAAAATTTTGGTGAAAGTTTGATATTTAGCTTTCATAACACAGAGTTTGAGCAATGTGTGGTCTCACAGATTGGCAGGAGTAGGGTACTGAGGTACTCGCTCTCAGTAGACCACATCTGGTGTAGAAGTTTAGCTCACTGTTTGGTGAAGCAACTGCTCAAAACAGCTGTAGCAGAGTTGTCAGACAGTGGGACAACAGGTACTTGATACTCAAATGCTCCAAGTGGGGAATTAAGACCATGGATAAAAAATAAACTTCGAGGACTGCTGGAACCTGAAATAATAAAAACTGAATCTCTCAAAGAGGTGCAAGTTCACACATACTTGGCATAAATTAAGTATCTAGAAAATAAAAAATGAAGCAGGAAGTACGACTTTATATTTCTGTAGGGGAATAATAGGGAGATTTTTAAACAGCTGTGATAGAGTTAGATCATATATTTCTGGTATTGGAGAAGAGACAACCAGAGACTGCCAGACACTTCAGATGATGTGGAGATAAAGCTGAGTGTCCTGTCAAACCTCCTGCTTGAGGCCTGTGAATTGGTGAGTTTAGGCAGCCAGTATAGCAGTGCCTCTTCTGGAATTTGTAAGGGTTTGGTTTCTTCTGAGGGTAGGAAAATGATTATTTTTTTAATTATTATTATTTTACTTATTAGAAGTT